CACAAAACATTCGTGAAATATGATGATCATTATTATCCAAAGTACATGCATAAAGACACGAATTGGTGTGAATATACTTTGTATACAACTAGAAATATGAAAAAGTGTGCTCTATATGTGTAATAAGAAATGTAATGAATTCCGCTGTCATATATAAATAAAATTTAAAAAAAAACATTCAATAAATGTTTCTAAAACTACATATGAATCAGAAATATTTTAGAGCATGCTCTCAGGTTTCCAAAAATGTCAATTTATAAGATAAACATGTATCAAATCAACAAAATTTCCCAAGTAAAATTATGGTATTGATTATGGTGCCTTGTCCTAAGCAAACAGAGAGAAACATCATTACATGCTCTTGCTTTGCAATTATTCTCATTGATAGTTGTTAGCAATGAATGAGACTGGATAAAAATGGTTTTGATTTGAACATTCTAGCCTGTACTTTTTATTTACTTATTATTGAATCATTCTTTATTGACATTTCACTTTGTTGTTGATTATACTTCTGTTAAACTACACACACACACACACACACACACACACACAAACATACCTCTCCTGAAAGGGGCAAATGGAAGAAAGGAAAGGAATAAAGAGGCAATAAAAAGGACAAGAAAAGTAAATGCAGAAAAGAGAGAGGAAGGAAGGAAAGGAGATAGGAAGAAGTGAGGGGGAAAGGAGAGAGAAGAAGAGGATGGCAGATGAGAAAAAGTAAAGAGTTAGTTCTGTTTATGTGAAAGGTCAGAGCTAGGGTCTTGATGGAAATTACAGGAAGACAATGACTATGAGAACTCATCAGCAATTCAAGATGTTCAAAAAGAAACAGATAGGAGAGACTTGTAAAGAAGTGTGCTTCACTTACGCAAATGCTGAAACAAAATGTGGATTATCAACTGTCAGGAATGAGGGAGCTTCTGTGTTAAATAAAACAAAATATGGAGTTCTCTTCTAATATTATAACTCTATTGCTTAGCATTCACTGCTGAGGTTCTCTATCACAAACAAGTACATAGGTGTGTACTATCACTCCCTGTTTTTCTCATCTAGACTTGCACCCCCCACACACACAAATCAGCAGGCATATTGCACATATCCCAGTGTGTAAACCTACAGGTCTTATGAGCTCAGTAGATGGTGGAGGGTCAACAATATTTAATATAGCTTTAGAAAAATAGATATCATAAATCTTGATTAAATTCTTGATATAAGACATACTTTTAATAATCCACAGTGTGATTTTTAATAGTAACGTATTCAAAAGTCAAGATGGTTCTTTGTAATGTAATTTATTCCTTGCTTCTAGTTTGGGGCATGGATTTTTAATCTTGAACATATTACAACAGTAAATTAGAACTAATTTGGGGGAAATACAGAAACATTAATTTTTCAATTCTCTCTTGACACTTTGAGTTAATATTAAAATTCACCTTCAATTCTTCTCACTAAATGATTACTCAACTCCTCTGAGCTTCAGTTTACTCATCTTTAAGATGGAGACAACCTTAATGTCCTAATTTTGTGAGACTGAAATAAGATAATAGACATGATATCTAGTAAATGTTTTAATAAAATTAATTGAATCTTAATTTAGAACAAAATAATTAACTAGAGTAATTTACTCTTTCTTCAAGTATCTCCATATAAGCATATGAAAATAATCTACTTGTTAATAAGATCTCTTTTGTTAACTAATTCCTTTGCATATACTTTTTTCTAATTTTTGTTGTATAATTTTCAGTGAACTATTTGAGATTCAGTTAATGTAGTAATCAAGGTTTGTTTTAAAACATTTCCAAGAATGTGGTAATCTGTTTAACGTTCACTTTTTTCATAGTGAACTAAGATTTAACTAAATCAAAACTAAGATTTGAAGGCTTAAGAGAGGATGTATATAGAATTGCATAACATTTATGCAATTTATTGTGCAATTCTACTAAGTAATTCCTGAGTAATTCTTGCTCAGGAAGCACTGCTTCTGTTTTTCAGTCAGCCTCTGATCTGACAAACTCCACTACCTGTTTCTTTCTCTGATTTTACTTATTTTTTCTTTTTTCTTTTTTTCTTTTTTTTGCATTTCTGTTGATCAAACCCAGGACCTTATGCATGTCAGACAAGTGCTCTACCACTGAGCTCTACCCATGCACACTATTTTTTTTAATCAGGAATACATCAATAGTGGTTTATCTATGTCTTAAAATCACTTTTTCTCATGTGGGGAAATAAATATGTATGCTCTATTTTCTGCTGTATATTCACTGGTCCTACATTGCTATCACAATGTGGCAGGTGTTACATAAACTTGGGTCATTATGAAAACAAATTCATTAAATATGTTCAAAATGAATGCTTATATATATTGAAGCCTCATTTTAAAGTGAAATTCTATATTGTGCTGGCTTCTGTGAAAACAGAAAATGTTGCATTAGGGAATACATCCTTTAATTTATGAACTGATTGAAATGTATGCCTAACGAACTGGGATTGTGGCTCAGTGGCAGAGTGCTTGCCTAGCATGTGTGAGGCACTGGGTTCAATTCTCAGCACCATATGCAAATAAATAAAAAATAAACATCCACTGATAATAGCTAAAAAATATTTTTTAAAAAGTATGCCTAAGTATATTAATGCAGATTTTCTTCAAAAGCTAGATTTCCAGAAGTAGAGTAAATATTTATCTATTATTATAGACTATTTAAAAATGTAAAATAGTGTTTAGAATATGTTATTAAAATAAATATAATTAGTTAAAATTATGTATATTTAACAATTATGTAAAATATGGATATTTCCATGTGAAAGGAATATACAAAAGTGAAGAGAATTTAGAGCTTACCATAATGTTGGACCCTAAAGCTCATGTTTAACTGTAGAACCTATAGATTAGGAAATAGATTTTCATTAGTTCTGTTTGACAGAAATATAGAATGGGATTTATAAAATTTAGGTCATGTACAATTGACCATTGGAGAATTAGAAATAAAAAAAAGATACCTACATTTTACAGAGTAGTCATTCCATCATGCTAGATTTTGTATGAATTTTACAGGGATTTTATTGCTGACCTTGGGTATTAAATAATTGTGAGGTAAAATGCAATACACTGGTAATATTGCTTTATGACACTGCACATTAAATTGAAAATTAACCATAAGATTTTAGACATGAAGTGTTCAAAATTGTAATGAATTTATACGCTTAAATCAACTTCTAATTTGTATGATCACTTTAAAGTTATAATTTATCCATAAAGCACCACTTAATACATTATTATGCTGTTCTGTGAGAACATTAATGCAGTTTCCAACAGGGATAAATTTATTAGTGGTAATTTATTAATAGTGAATGTGTCTCAATTTAAATAGTGAACTATTTCTCAATGCTTTTCCATATTTATCATACTATCCATTTCTGTTTTAGCTCATAAGACAAACTTCTATTTCTTGAGTAACTTACATGATTATCTGTCATTTTAAGGATATGTTTTATGTAATTTGTGACATAACATTTTAAGAATATGATTTATATAACTTTCTCACTGGACAGCCAAAAAGAGTTTTAAATATAATTTCTTAAGTTCCCTTAGGATAATTAAACTTGTTAATGTCATGAATTTAAAAACAAACTAACAAACAAACAAACCCTTTTCTTAAAGACATGGAGGCAGTATTTAGAAATAAAATACCAAACTTTCAGTACTTTTTTCCTAAGAAATTTAAAGTATCACATTCTGCCAAATTTTCATCTGTGATTGGCATAATTAAATAAATTTCTGAGAACAAATTGGAAAAAATATCATGAGTTCTTATGGATTCTTTTAAGTTTTTATTTATTTTCATTGAGCTCACATTCCCTTCCTCCTATGGGGAAAATTTCTACTTCTTAATAACAACAACATCCCTCACTGAACATCTCTCATTGACAGACATCTAGATTGTTCCAATATTTGCAAATAAAGTCTCAATGAATGGTCTTGTAAATATGACTCTTTGTATTTGTGCCATGTATCTATGGAATAGTCCAAAAAAATTTTTAAAAACTATAAATGAATATGTATTTTGCATTAATTATTGAGTTTACTTTCATAAAAGTGTATTATTTTGCTTAAAAAACACTTAAGTACATTAAATTACGTTTTCCCACAACATAGCTAACAAAGTATGTTATTAAAATTTTGGATTTTTCCACTCTGAGATATGATATCTCAATGTAATTTAATTTGAAATTTTTTTAACAAATGATTTTTAACTTTTATGTTCAAACACTACTCTTTTAAAATAATTAGAATACTTAAACATGAAAAGTATTTTGTGAAAGACACAAAGAAATTAATCTGCAATATAAACATTTGAATTAAATATTAGAAGTATAACATGTGTTATTTTAGGTTAATTTTGTATTGCTAACATAGTGTCATATAGGAAAATAAAACAGACCAGATTCTGAAAATAAACTTGTGCAGTTAAACATTTCAATTTTATCCAGATGTCACTGAAACTGTGCAAACAAAATAATCTTTGCATTGATAAAAACAATTCATTGTAAATATGAAGTAGATTGTTTATAAAGAACTAAGATGTCTTGAGAAGAAAGAAAAGCCTATGAGTGATCTTGTAATTGCAGAGATTGGTTGTTTTTCTGATAGTATATATAGATTTTATAAAATACAGGAACCAAGTGTATTGTACTTCATGACATAACTCAATGCCAAAAAAAAGTTTAAGGAATAAGGCCCTTGTCTAATGAGACCAAAGATGATGAATTCTGGCTCTTGTCCTTGGAATATTTGAGTTTTTCCTATGCTCCTTAATAGTGTTTCTAAAAGGCCTTATTTAGACTGAATAGAGTATATCCTAAGGCCATCTTCTTAATCTGGTATAAACAATTCGTGTCCTCTTCAATAAGAACTGTGCCTTCTTCAGGAGAAAAATATGAAAGAAAAGATCATAAAAAATGATTCCTGTAAATTAATTCTTAGTTATTTTCTTTCCTTTCAGCACCTTCTCTAATAGGTATGGTAAGGAAGGACTGGGCATCCCAAAATAGCATTGCTCTATCATGGCAAGCACCTGCTCTCTCCAATGGAGCCATTCTGGACTACGAGATCAAGTACTATGAGAAAGTAGGTCTTATTTGGAGCTTTCTAAAAACCTACATAAATGTCTATATACATATACATATATGTACTTATATATGTATATGTATATATCAAACATGTTTTTATACTAAATTATTTTAATTTAAACTTTTTTGGGGGAGGTGGGCTAATCTCATACTCATTATTCCTTTGAATTCTCCCTAACTTACTATTGTGATTATAGTTTACCAATTAATTTATTTTGTTTTATTAAAGTAGAAGATGACAAATGTTCATATCTATTATGACCTCCTCTAGGGAGTTTTATAATGCAGTAAAGAACATTGAGTAATAAACTCCTTCAACTTACAATTTTGTTGCTATAACACTGTTTCTAAAATTCATTTTAGAATTATAAAATTGAATTCCTATGACCCAAAATGAGTGATGAGCACATATCCTTTGCCAATGAATTTAAAGTTATTGTTCACTGTGATTTGAAGAGGATATCTTAAGAGAAAAATGAAAATAACAAATGAATTAAATATTCTCTTAACATTCTTATTTTATAAGACTCTCCTAAGACAAATTTGGTTGGCAAATCAGTTATCTACCCTAATTTCCATTTTGTCATATAAAATTATACTCCAGAATCATAATTTTCCAAATTATTTATTTGCTCAATTATATTTTTTGATGTTCTTTTTATGTTTTTCCCCTGTGTTTTTCACCATTATGACATTGTTGCTGTAGATACTACAGCAGAGCACATAGTTAACTTTGAAATGTCTCATTGTAGAGTGTTACATCAAAAATGTTGACAAAGGGAACATTATTTTTTAAAAAACAGTTAATGTATAAAACATACATAATTTACAGTGGTTTACCACAATAAGAATGTCTTGCATTTCTGGATGCTAAGAGCCACAGCCAAGTAATATTATGCATGGCACTTTTGGTTGAAAAGTGATGCCACCTAGCCATTGAGATGATATGATTATGTTAAGATTTGCATTCATATGGATATTGGACTCCTGCTGTTCACCTGCCCCCCCCATGGGACTCCTGGAGAGTTCCCATTGGTTGAGGAAGTACAGTAGGAGGGAATTCCGGGGGGGAGAAACTTCCCCGCGTGTGGGGATCGGCTTCTTCCCAGACGTGTACAGGGTATTGGCGGCAATTTCAAAAATAAAGTTTGTTCCTGCTTGAGGGGCTCGTGATTCTGTGCCCAGCCAGACTTCGGCATCTGTAATTTACTAGAAACAAAGGAATATAGGGAAGTTTCAGTTGTCCCCCTAAAGGTTTGATATTTGTGTCTGTTGAAATAAACTGACAATAGATTAGCAGCAGAAAGGGCATATAATTGTATTGCCATGCATGTATGCACAGGAGCCACAAAAAATATAAAATTCAAAGACGGCCCAGTTGGTTGACACTTAAATATTTTCACCATGAAGGGTAGTGAAGTAGGAGATGTAGGCAATTTCAGAGAGGTAATAAATGATTTTCACAGGAAAAGTAGATCCAGTGGCCTGGGACAAAGTTCCTCTGTGTTCTCCATGTGGTGTTTAATTTTCAGTCTCTTATTCTGAAAGTGGAACAGTGGCATTGAAGATAATTGTGTTCCTCCGTGGCAGATCTGGTCTTCAGATAGATAAGGGATGCTCAGAGGAAGACACATCTTCATTTGCAGCTCCTCAGGTGCTCTCAGTTTGAAGTCCAAAGCAGCATATTTTGGGGTATCATTTTATGAGCATCAATAGAAACATCATAAGTAAATTTAGGTTTACTGTAAAGAAATATAGGGCAAGGGGAGAGATGGAAACCTACCTTTATTCTGTTTCTAGGTAAATGTAATTGAATAAAGGACAGGTGACTCATTCACATGCTTATATCCATTTTTGGCATTTAAGTAATGACAGCATCATTGTAGTGATAAAAGTGACATTATAATTAACAGACAGGGATACAGCCATAGTTTAAGAAAAAAAGAATTCACTGAATTTAAATTGGATGGCAGATTCTGCACATTAGCTATGCCAGCATGTGATCAGTAATCACTTGGCCTAACCTTTCAAACTGTATTATAGCATGTGTCACAAGAAGAAATATATGTTGGGTTTAATGGTTTAAATAGATCTTCATGTACTCAAAATGTGTGATCATCTAAATGCAAACAACACATTTATACATGTAGGCAATTTCAGAGAGGTAATAAATGATTTTCACAGGAAAAGTAGATCCAGTGATTTTTCAGAATCAAAATATTTCTGTTTTATAAGAACATTTTGTGTTATATTTCACACACAAAAAAAAACACTGACTCATTTTATTGTCAGTTATACTTCATGTGAGGATGAAAATAATCTGCAGATTTCCCAGAATCATGTAGATTCAATAAAAAAAGTTATCTAATTAAAAATTTGAAAATAAATAAAATTCTTTAAAAATTGCCATCAATATATTATCCATATCTACTCTTAGATGTGCATCATTTGTTTTGATTGTATTTTATTTTAAATTGAAAGTATACATTATGAAAGTATTTATTTTATTAAAAAAATGGCAGCAATCCATTGATAATTCTACCTGAAGTTGGAAACCAGAAATTCCCAATTCATGTTCTGAGTCTGATTATGCTTGTGACCAGGAAAATAAGTCAATAAATCTCCTATGTTACAGATATCATAAATAGGGAAAAAAGATCTCAGCTCTTTTGGTGGGTTATAAAGTTTAGTTATAATCAGATCTAAAAATTAAAAGCATTTAATAAGTATTTAAAATATAATTTAAGCAAAATATTTAGAACCAGAAAACAAGAGCATGGGAATTGTATAAAAAATAAATAAAAATAATTTTCTTTTCATGCTTAAATATACAAGGTATAAGCAGCCAAAGATGTTGCAATATCAAACCTTTCAGGGAGCATGACTGACAGCATTGAAATTTTTTCCTACTAGGTTCTCAGATTATAAGTATATATTTTATATATCTGCATCTATAATATGGTTTCTCCTTCTGAGAAAATATTTTTATAAGGAATAACTAGGACAGCTTACAATAAAGCTCAGTTTAAAATCTAGTTCTTTTTGTTTTAAGAATCAAAACATTGCTCAATAATAAAACCAAGATTAAAAAGTATACATACATATGATTCCAGTTTTAGAAAACAGATATTCCCTCATCTGTGTATTTGTGTATGATTATATGAGTAATAGAGAAATACAGAATAGAATAGGATACACACCAGGTTGTTTCAAGTGTTGCTTATTTTGGGGGTGGGGCAGAGGTGCTAAGTCAGAGCCTGAGTGAATATGGATGGATGGATGGATGGATGGATGGATGGATGGATGGATGGATGGATGGATTGATGGATGAATGAATGGATCTTAAATAGCTTTAGTACTTGTCTTTATAATTGTCTGCCCCAAAGCTGACCCTATGACAAGGATTTTTGTGTAAGAGATTAGTAAAGAAGGAATCCAGAAGAACTGGTAAAAGAGCAAGAGCGAGAAAAGTAGGACTACAAAGGAAGATGCTAGTCAAGTTCAATGTGCCCAAGAAAGTTCTAGAGTCTAAATTTTATCTCAGAGTTCATCTATGGAGACAGACGCTGGGCTTCCCCACTCTGGTTCCAGTCAATCATTAGCTACAGGTCTTTGTGGAAGTGTATAAATAGCATGCAGTAAAATATTATAGGTACCTCTGGTTCCCTGGAGTGGCCCCAGCTGCCCAAATTTAGGTCTAAAAGAGTGATGCAGATTAAAGCCTTAAAAAGCAAAACGTGGAAGCTGGAAGGTAGGAACAGGAACAGGTGTTCTGCTGGAATACTATTAACTAAAGTACTTGATAATTAATCCGTGGCTCATTGTAATATTCATATTCTCAAGTCTCTAATGGTCACATGGCCTTTAAAAATCACATTTTCTTTTAATCCCAGTTACTTTATATTGCTATACCCATAATTGATCTACAAATGATCAATATCAATACCAATTTTTGAGCAATTAATGCTGTTTTATTCAGTTCTTATTGTTTAAAGGGCATTCTTCTGTAAACCAGGAAAGAAAATAATCTATTTGGAATATAAAATGTCTACAAATATATGAGGTCAAACAGCAGAGTATTGTTACCAGCGATCTTTCCTTAGACAAATGATATATCACAGAAAGAGAAAGCACTGGCCTGCATATTAAAGGATTTCAGTTTGACTCAGACCCAAACTTTCTTAGTCCTATATTAATATGTAAAATAAGGGTCTTGAAAGATATTCTCTTACAGGTCTAGCTGTGTTCAAATGCTAATTTGTTTATGTCTATACTTTTATACAGGTAAAGTGTCCTATGGTTTTCCCATCCCTCAAATAACTGTAGTTTTTCATTTAAGCCTACTGAAATCAAATACACACACTTTTTAAAATACACCACCATATGGAGCAGTAATCTTCACATCATAACTGTATATAAAGATTGAGACCCTGCTCTCATTGTCTTCTGTGTGTATGTGGGGTATGTGTGTGTATGTGTGGGTGTGTATATTGTATCAATGTCTGTGTGCCTGTATGTTGATTATAGTTATTTATATAATCTCTATTTAGTTAATCATACTCTTCAATCTTTAGTTACTTTTATTTTTTCATACTTAAAAAGTCTTTTTCCTTTAATTCAAGTGAATATATCTTAAATATGAAAAGCACATTAAAATAATGAGTGATGTCAAGTGTATGTTACTTTTTAAAATTTACCTATTTACCTATTACCAATACTTTTCTCCAAAATCAGAAACTCTCTTTATAATGAGAGAACTAAGATATCATCTGTTCCAAAACATTCAATCTTCCACTTCAAAATATTATAAAAACCTGTTGCAGTCACTAAAGATTCAATACCCCATTCACTATAAACATGCCCTTTGTCTAAGTCCATTTGATGCTGATATAACAGAATACCTGAAACTGGACAATTTATGAAAAAGAGAAATTTATTCCTCATAGTTCTAGAGGCTGTGAAGTACAAGATAAAAGAACTAGAAAATGGGAAGCAAAG